TCAAGTCAAGTCAAGTCAACTTTATTTATATAGCACATTTAAAAACAACTGCCATTTGCCAAAGTGCTTTGCATTTTGCAACTAAAAACAAATCATTACAGACAATACACAAATAAAATAAAACCATAAAAACAGACGAAATAAATAGGGGGGAAACAACTCTCATTCTACATTAAAAGCTTTTGAAAAAAGTGTGTTTTAAGATGAGATTTAAAAACTCCAAGAGATGTGGCCTTCTATTTAAAAGATGTATTTGGTGAAAACTTCAAAATTAAATGTTAAAGATAAGATTCTGATTTTTTTTTGTTTAAATATTTCAGTAATTACTTTTGTATTTGCTGTTATTTTGCTTGGGCTTGTCTGCTTTAGTTCATTGACGGTCGTCTGGATATTCTTAACAAAGGGAAGGATCCAGATGATCTATTTGAGGACGAGATCATAAAATGTGAAACAACAGCAGGTGTGTATTTGTATTATTGGTTAATTAGTTTAAGTTCACATTGTTTGATTGCTCTTTTAAAACATTTTTTTAGGAAGAAGCAAATCTTATCAGCAGCTGGTTGGAAATTTAAAGGTAAATTTATTTGTGAGGAGTGTGTTGTTTTGAAACCCCTGAAAGTCCAACACGARTGCATCTGTACTGTTTGACAGAAAGGGGGCGGAGCTCTAATCCTCAACATGAAGAYCAAAGCAAACATGAAAGTGAGCACAAACTGACCTGGTGGAATGAGTTGTGTGGTTGTGTGGCACTAACACATTTATCCATCTTTTCCAACAGGCCAAAGGTCTCAGCAAGTCAGGTTTGAAAAACCTGCTAATTCACAAGGTAGGCTCTTGTGTTTGTTGGTTGGCACATGTTTATCGTTACATATCCAGGTGTGCTTTTATCACATGATTATGTGCACAATGTAGAGCCACAATGAAGGTCAAATCCTTCAGAGAGGAGGATCGATGTCACATCGTCGTGTTCAGTCTGACAGTTTGCAGAACCGCCTGCCGATCACACAACATTTTGGGAAGGTGAGATTCTACCTTTTCAGGCATCAAGTGCAAAACTCACTAAATTAAAGCATCAGATTAAACAGTTTGCCTTTTGTCAGTCACGACCGCGCCGGCCGGTTTTCAGAGACAAAGAAAACACAAAGGATRCTGAAGCTGTATGGGAGAGGTAAGGGCTACAGAACTGTACACATTTAATCAAGCCCTTTAAATACAATGTAGATGTWTTTATGTTACTTGAACATTTTTTATTTCCAGACTTCAGAATGAAAAAAAAATAAAAACTTTAGTGAGAAAATTTTGTGAACCAAAGAGGGTGGATTCAGACATTTATCAGACCGTTTCTTTTATTTATTTATTTTTTGTGCATGTAATTTTAACATTAAGGGTTTCAGCCTGCATACTGAACTTTAAACGTTGAATGAAATTACTATTCAGAAATTTGTAATAAAATATAGTAAATGATTTTTATTCAGCATTAAGGTTTGCCTTGATGCATCCTGGTGATTGCTTAGAAATATAAATATTGATGTAGTTCAGCTGAATTTAGCAACTTCAGTTCTACCAAACATCCAAAAGAAATTACAGTTACATATATTTATTCTTCAGGCAGCAGGAGTGATGCTACACAGGTTTGATTTAGTTTTTGTAATTTTGATGTATTTAGGACAGACATTTATTTAYTTTTTCCTTAGAAATATGAAATCACTATGATACAATATGTGAAATTAAAGTGTGCAAGACCTCATTTTATAACAACGCATTATGTAATAAATTATTACATTGAAGCCTGATTTTACTACATTATTACTAATAATGTAGTAAAATCAGGCTTCAAAATGTAATAAACTCACACTAAAACTSCATTATGTAATAACTGACACAAAATGTAATAAAAGTCTTCAACGCATTATGTAATAACGTTATTACATTTTGCGGCAATTATTACAAAATGTGGTGGTGTAATAATTTGGTGCATTATGTAATAAACAATCAAAAACCAGTATGTCTGTTCATCCTAATCAAGATACTTGTAATAACTGTCATGYTGYAAAYACTACATAATTAAATCTTTATAACTTTGGTGAATAAACACAGAACTTCTCATCTTTTATTTGCATTTTCAGTCAAATTCTTGCGTATATGGATGTATAGAGCAATCTCACAGATTATTTTTCCTTCAAAGACTTAGTTTTTAATTTATTTAACATGCCAGAGCCTGTAGGATGTTAAAAAACAATTACTAACATCAAATATCCACTTCCAACCCACTAAACAAGTTCTTCAATCCTCATTTCCTTCTGATACAGAAGCCGACAGTCCACCTGCACCCCCCAACCCCCTGCGTGTGATTAATACAGTTTTTTTCAAATACAAAAATTACGTATTTTTAAGGCTCATTATACCTCTGAAGGGGTTGACATGTACAACTAACTTTTAGATATATTTGAGAGTGGTCTACAACGTGGAATAATTTCTGTAACAGGGATCAGGACAGTAAATCTGAAAATGCAAATAAAAAATGAGAAGTTTCGTGTTTATTGACCAAAGTTATAAAGATTTAATTATGTAGTATTTGCAACATGACAGTTATTACAAGTATATTGATTAGGATGAACAGAAATACTGGTTTTTGATTGTTTATTATATGATGCACCAGATTATTACACCACCACATTTTATAATTGCCGCAAAATGTAATAATGTTATTACGTAATGCATTGAAGACTTTTATAACATTTTGCAGCAGTTATTACATAATGCAGTTTTAGCGTGAGGTTTTTTTTACATTTTGAAGCCTGATTTTATTACATTATTACATAATGCGTTGTTATTACAAAATGAGGTCTTACAAAGTGGAATGTTATTTAGAATGTATTTTTAAGTCAGTTTTATTGGTGTTAYTAATTTGATATTTGTTTGGCATCAGAGCTGTGTCTGGGCATGTGGATGAGCCTGATTCTGAGCTCCAGAAGGATGAAGAAGAAGAGGGGGATGACTCTCCCCTWTGTGACCCAGAAGAGATGGATCTTCTTGGGGAGATCTTTGACACGCTCAGTGCACGCAGCTCCCACGACCGAGGCCTGCTGTATGGCACTCGCAGCTTGGATTTGTTTGGACCAGACAGCCATGACTTCATCATGAAGGTAAGCCAACAAGGAAATGATACAATGTAACTCAAATGTAAAGTCTACTTCCTGATTATTCTGTGTTCGCCAGCACGGTCCAGCCAACCCCAGCCAGGAGAGTCTGTCTCTGTCCATCAGTGGCAGCGACAGTCTGCACAGCTGGAATCTGGAAACCACTGAGGAGCTGTCAGATCTGACAGAGGACTCTAATTCTCTGTACCTGGATGCCAGCTTGACCGAGGAGGGGGCTGATAATCTCCATGTGGCATGCAAAATGATAGAGGACAGAAGTGGACAGACAGAGGATGGAGAGAAATGTGAAGAAACTAATGGAGCAATAATCAGGAAGGAGATAGAAGAAGAAACGTTTAACAAAAATAACTTTAAGGAAGTGAGGTTAGAAGAAGAGATACAGAAAACYCCTGGGGAGGTTGGTGTAAATGAAATAACCAAAGGAAACAAGAATGAAGAGTTAAAAGAGAAAAGGAACGATGGTGACACTCAGAATGAGGAGGAGGGGCAGGAGAGAGGAATAAATGAAGTAATGGAAATACAAGAAAGTGTGTTTAAGGAAGAGGAGAAAGAGAAAAATGAGACAAAAAGTMAAGKAACTGAACAGTCTTTRAACAAAAGCATAAAACTGAATCCTGTGGAAGAACAAACTGCAGTCCCACCTGAGACGCAGAGTCTTGCTGCGGACCATAAACCTGCAGAACATCAGGAGAAATCRAATGAAACCCCTCCAAAGAATGAGAAGCACACAGTTCGACTGGCTTCCTCTCCCACCATAGTGGTGTCTGCTGTGACACGTTTCCAGTCTCAGGACTCCAGTCAGACTTTTCAGTTAAGGTCTGTACCAAAGGCTTCATCTGAGTCTGTGTTTCAATGCAGGGAGAAAACACAAACTCACCCTCTGAGTAGGTCAGACACAAACAGTGAGACACCTGAGGAGGAAGACCACCCTCCACTCAAAGTGTCTGAGCTGAAGAAAAGATTTGAAACATGAAGAAGAACGCTGGTAATGTTCAAAGGTTTGTCATTGTGAACACATGAAAATAATAAAGACATCTCATCCTCAAACCAAGCTTTAAGGTCATTAGCTGCTGTTGAAGACAGAAAACTTGCTTTGAGTTGTTTAGCTATCATCCATGCTAAAGGCCCAGTCCCAACAGTCGCACTACACCCTATGCCCCGCTGTCAAGTGTGCACTCAGTTGAAGTGCAACCTATGGGTTCAAATATGCAGGTTACGTGCAAATATTGGAAAATTGAGACAGTACAGGTTACATCATCAACTTGCACCTTTGCTTTGYAACTGCAACATCCAAAATGGTGGAACTGGTCGCTGTTTGGGCATTTGCGCTGCTAAAACTGATAGTACAACTACAACAGGCAATTATTTTAGGAGAAGAAAGTGCATGAAAGCTTATACACCAGAGTACAAGCTTTCTTCTTCTGTAAGTACTTCTTTGATTTTATTGGGGGTTGGCAAACTAATTTAAATGCGTTACCACCACCACTAGACTGGAAGGTGCTCGGTGGACATTAGCTATGTTTACATGCACAATTTTTTTTGATCGGATTGAAATGTATTTGGATTAAATAATCTGAATGTACTGTTTACATGGACACAATCCGATCATGAAAAGTGTTTACATGCACCGTCCGGACATGCACAGTGTTGTAAACTTTCAGCTCTCCGTGTTACAAACCTAAGCAAAGCTCCTCTGTACGCTCAGGATGGACCCGTGTCAGCTTTTAACAATGGTAGAGACGTCGTTACTCCTCGGTTGAGCTGTAGCCTGCAGATGAAGCAATACGTGCTTTTTATTTTTATTTTTTGCGAAGCAACGTCTGCTGTTTGCCTCCTTTTACATCCGTTAAGAGAGCGAGGAGGAAAAGTTCTGCATGGTGCAGCGCAGTTGGAGCACTGCTGTCCCATCTCCTCAGAACCGGGTGAATGAAAGTCAGAAAACATGCGCACACAGGTCAGTTTTCTACAATCAGAATAAGATGATCCGATTAAGTGTTTACATGAACGTCCTTCCGATTATCAATCGGCATAACCCACCCGACTCATTCGGATTAAAAATAAATTCGGATCGAGCTCAATCGGATCAGAATAATCGGAACTGGCTGTTTACATGACGCATTTTAATTCCGAATGGCTGTTTAATCCGATTACTTTTGTCCATGTAAACGTAGCTATTGACATACTGTATTTCTGCCTGTTCATTCAAAATGTCAAACACAGCAATGAATTGTGGGTAATACACTTTGCTGAAGTCTGTTTGGAAAGTGTGGATCAAGGGCACCATGGTACTGAAGATTTTGGGTGGGGTGGTAGATTTAAGACCAAGGTGTGAGGGTTAGGTATGTACTTGGGTGATTAGGTTTAGGGTAAAGGATCAGTGTTGGGCTATAGAAATGAATGGAAAATGAATGAACGTCAATGCAAAGTCCCCACAGAGATAGAAGAAAAAACACGTGTTAGTCTAAACCAGACCTATTCAACTGGGGTGACATCAGTCCCACCCACCAATGAGTTCACTGGAAGAATTTGTTAAACTTCATTTAATGTAAAAATATATTTTAAATACATTTGTAATTAAAAATGTATGATTCAATGCAGCAAATGATTGTTCTTTTAAATAATGCAGTGTTTCCCTAATATTATCAGGAAAGGCTTCGTAGACCTCCAGCTCAGCTGTTTGGCCCCTGAGCTGTTGGCTTTKAATAACTGTTGCCCCGTGAGTAATTTAGCTGAAAAGCTCTGGGGTCAGATTTATAAAGGATTGTGTGGAAACCATAATAAAAGTGAACGTATGGCCAAAAGGTGAAAATGGCGTATGCCAAAAGAATTCAAATTTATAAAACCGTGCGTACGCATGTTTCTGCACATCTTTCCTTTATAAATCACAGCCGCACCTCAGAGTTTGAGCACGAGGTCCCGCCTCAGGTTCTACCCTCTACACGCCCACACTCAACCATAAACAGTCAATGCAAAGTACCTCATGAACGTTAAGATGTATTTAAATCAGTCAGCTGATCAATGTCAAAAGAAGTGATTGGTTCAGACACGCTCCGTCCTGCGTCTGGAGGATGACAACTGCTCACGTGAACAGAATGTCTGTGATTTGCAGCTTTTCCCTCATTTTGCAGGTTTACAGATGTTTAGAGTAATCTAATGATTTTTATCAAAAACTCAGCTTCAAATTAATTTTCTCTCAGAGCCTGCAGGACAATAAAAACAACAAATAAAATTAAATAAGTCATATAAAGTAAAGTTCACCACTCTTCTCCCCGTCCTCCCCCTCCTGTTATCTGCGGCTTATCGCCACCCCCACCAGTGATACGGTCTTTAAAAAGTGAATCTTTTATTACACATTAACACTGGCAAGGGTGCACACACCCAAAGTGTGACTATAACCAAGCTTTTTGCTATCATGCTCTGCTGAAATTCCTCTCGTCAGGGAGGGGTCTGTGGGTCAGGGTCATCTCAGGAGGAAGGAGATCAATGGAGATTTGTGAAATTTTATTTAAGATTTAAGTTTTTTATTTCAAAGATCCTTATGGCTCAGCAGCAGAAGCATAAATGTTACTGTTGAGAAAGCTAAAGTTGATCTAAAATCTAAGTGAAATTAAATATCTGACAGTGATCATGACACAGTGTGGCTCTAATTCTTCACTTCACCATCTGTGTCGCAGCTTCACGTCTCCAAAATGAGCGTACGCATGGGTCAGAGCTGGCTGAGGCACCGCACATTTTCACGTCAAGTTTGGATTTTATAAATCGCAACCTTTGCGTGAAAAGTGCAGTACGCAAGTTTCTGGGCTCAAATTGTGCGTACGCAAGCTTTATAAATCCGACCCCAGGTATATAGATATAAAAAATATCTCATTAAATCGTTAAATTGATTTTTTTTTAACTTTCAAATACAGTATAATCATTGGATTAACATTTTGTGTCAACTCAGCTCAAAATGGCCACAACAAAGCAGTCTTGGTAAACACAAAACTGGTTAACTCACTTTTAATAATGATGAGCTAATTTGGTGTAGTATGAGCAAAGCGTCGTTTACAGCCCTATTTAAGTGCCAAAAGATTATAAATCATCACCCAAGTTTTGCCTAATTGTGATTTTCTTTCTAAAGATGTGACTAAAACAAAAAAAAACTATAACTGCATAATTTCTCCCATAAATGCACTTTGTTTAAACATTTGGGTGAAAGGCAAGTGATTTTCAGTCCTTCAAGGAATGACAGGGTCTTTATTTTTATTTCATGACATTAAGAAAATCTCAGCAGCATCAAATGTTTGTCATCACAAACTGTTCAGAAACCATTAAAACAGAGTGACTTTGTACTAGATGAATGAAATTCCAGAAATAAATAATAATTAAAATCACTGAGAAAATGCTTATCATCTTCCTTACAGATTTGAACAATTACAATTTTGTCACTGACTCAAAGTCTGAGATGAAATTGTTAAACAAACCATTTTATTTCCTCCATGCACATTTCAACACACACAGCTCTAAAATACAAAAGAGCAGCTGGACTTCACATGAATATTTTCTGTGCWCATTTGTTCTAATGACAGCATGAAGACATTGTGTTTTAGGACTCCATACATACAGATTCTTTGTTCTTGTTTTTAAACYGAGCTTTGTAACTGAATTCTAAAATAAAAAAGTGCATCACAGTGTTTTTATTCAACAGTCATAAATGGAAACACTGAAATATTTAGCCTACAAATATACAATACAGTGGGAAAAAAATCCCAACGTGTGTATAAATACGCATTACACTTCAGCTCATTTGTATGGTTAAAAAAATAAGAGTGGCATATTTAAATACTAAGAGGAAAGCTTTTCTGACCAGACTGATCAGTCCCATCTGTTGCCACTGAGCATGGAAGAAGTAACATTAGAAAAGGTAACATTAGAAAAATATCTGAAAACCTGCTGGAAACAAGTTATCCATTCAGACAAACTTCACAAAGCTTGGTCTCTYATATGAGGCGCTCTGCTTTGGGTAAAGGCAGGTCAGGCTTCTCAGGTCCCGCTGCTCTCGTCTGTTTCTTCTCCTCTGCACTGGGCCTGTACGTTCCCTCATCCCCGCTCTTCTTCCGGATGACACACAGCAGAACCAGCAGAACCAATGTGAGCAGGGAAGACAAGCTGAAGATGAACGATGACATCACTGGTGGGATTAATTTCTGGATCACCAGAATGAAAAACTAGAGAGAGGAAAATAAACAAACAAAACACACAGATTAACAAGTCCATCCATCAAATTATCATATTCTTATTTTCAGGGTCACTGTGCCAGGGTGACCCTGAACAGGTTCTAAGTCCATCACAGGGCCACTTAGGGACAAACAACCATTCATTCTCTTATGGGGTGCCGTTTGTAAAGTTACACAGTCAAAAATTACCACCAATATTTTTGTTTTATTTTGCCTTTTATAAGAAAAAACGAACAGATTTTTTTTAAAGTTAGTTTTCACCATGTGATTCATACATTTATAAATGT